ACAAAGAGGTATTCATCTAACTAGTTTTTATGTTGTATATCTCCAATTGCATGCTAGCTAGGGTATATGCTTTAGATTTAAAGAAAATGCATGTATAACTTGAGAAAACTTAGATCCAAAGCATTAGGGTTGTATGTGCACCATAGGATTGTTATAGTGCTTAAAACCCATCATCCTTGGCACTTATCACAATGTGCACATAACACATAAGAATCGTGAAAAATGTTGGGCCAATAGAATCCGCTATCTAAGACTTTTCTAGCTGTCCTTTGGGGTCCGAAGTGACTGCCACAAGCATATGAATGACAAAAGTTCAGTATTGATTGTACTTCATTTTGCTCAACACACCTTCGGATCATTTGGTCTGCTTGCATACTTCCAAAGGTACGGCTCATCCCACACATACCTCTTTGCTTCCTTCTTGATTTTGTCCTTTTGCCAACGGGTTGATTCCAGAGGAAACTGATTCGTGACCAAGTAATTGACAATATCTTCATACCATGGAGCTTCATTGGTAGCGAATAAATGCTCGTCCGAAAATATGTCACAGATTGGTATGGTGTCTTTGGGTGGTACGATTCGACTTAAATGATCCGCCACCAGATTCTCTTTCCCGCTTTTATCCTTGATTTCTATATTGAACTCTTGCAAAAACAGCATCCACCAGATTCTCTTTCCCGCTTTCTTCATTTCTATATAAACAAACGCCTATTTTCATAGTAAATGTGTGTGTGTGTATATATATATATATATATATATATATATATATATATATATAGACACACACACACATAAATAGGTGTGTATCTATATTTTTTATAAAATCGTGTTTGAATAATGTTTTATATAATACGTGTTTGTATACATTTTATATATAAATGTGTTTGAATACAAATGCATTTATTATAAAATAGGTGTTTATAATATATATATATATATATATATATATATGTTTTTACAAAAAAAATGTATACGTTAACTATGAAAGAGGTGTTTGTATACATTTTTTTAATAAATATGTGTTTGCATACAAATGTATATATATAATAAAATAGGTGTTTGTATATATTTTTTGTAAAATTCATGTCTGTATACATTTTTTTATAAAAACGGATATATATATATATATATATATATATATATATATATATATATATATATATATATATATATATATATATATATATATATATATATATATAATAAATACCTATTTTTATAAATAGGTATTTCGTATACAATTTTTTTTTTAAAAAAAAAGGTTTTTATAAAGAAAATATAAGAATTTTTATGTGAAAATATGTTTTTTTTTGTATAAATATAATTTTATAAAGAAAAAACATATTCGATTTTTTTTGAGAAAAAGAGTTGTAAAAAAACTAAATTTATGATGAATTCATAATAAAATTTTAAAATTTGGGCAAAAAGGTACATTTTGGACCAAATTTGTAATAAAATTTAAAATCTGGGCCAAAAATGTAAATTTTGGACCAAATATGTAAAATTTCTTGAAATCTAGGCTAAAAATGTAATTTTTGAAAGTTGGATGACCTGTTGACCGGGTAAAATGGTTAAACTGAACACAATTATCGGTTTTTGGGACTTAATTGAATAAAAAAAAGATATAAGGACTAAATCGATTATGAGGTCAATATGTAAGGACTTTATTGCAGTTTTCCATTTTTTAAATGAATTTTTTACTTAGTAACTGTGACAACCCGTTATTTTTCTTAGTCAAACATGTCAAATAAAAGTCAAATTTGTATGTTTTGTTAATTTATTAAAGTTAAATTAATAATCTTGATATGCAGAAACCTTTTATTGTAAAGTGTTGTAAAAATTTGAATTTTAAAAACACTCAAACCGAGAAGTCTCGCATAGGAGCCTTCTCACCGAAAACCCTCGCAAAGTATACTTATCTCGGACCGCAAACCATTTTCGGCCGTAAACTCCTCGGGCCGCAAACACTCTTCGGACAGCAAACTATTCTCAACCGAAAACTACTTCTCGGGAAGAGTTCCTGACCGGGAACCCCTAAATTCTATCCATTGGCACAAGATTCTAAGTGTTTTGTCATTCCCAACGTAAGTGTCCCATCATGATTTCGGCCATATACATTAGTATACCGAAATCAATACTTTATTCTTACTCTTGCTAACCGAAAACTCTCTTTTTCTCTCTCAAAAACACAACCGAAAAACTCACTTTTCTCTCTCAAGTATCATACGAAGATCACTTGGATCTTCATAGGATCATACCGAATTCATCAAGTGTTCTTCATAGTTTTCGAAATCATCATCCAATCTCCTTAACTTCAAACCGAAAACACCAAGATCACCAAGAACACTTCACCTCTTCAGCTGACCGAAAACGCCCAGCTGACCGAAAACTCCTAACAGATTTCACGGTTCACTTCTAATACTCCAATTTGACTCGGTTTTGTTACGGGTTCTAACTTGTGGAAATAACTCTACTACTCTGTATCTTCATTCGAACACTCACATAAGGTGAGTTCATACCCCTATGTTTTAACCATTTTTAAATGCTTTTCGGGGGAGAATACAAGCAAAACACAAGTTAGTTGTGTTAATACTTACATGCGATTGCAAATCACTTTTGGATACTTAATGCTTTTATAAAACTTATCAACCCTTTTTAAATTGTTTTTCAACCTCTTAAATTGTTGTTTTTATCAAACTATATTCATATATCTATTTATGTATAATTATGATTTAACGGACTTAAGACTATTGCTCTTGCCTTGACTCATGTTCCTTGTTTGGTTGTGGGCTTAGGGTAAGATCACATGTCCGACTGTCAGTTAACCCTTAATTATACATGCCAAGTATATATATGAGTATTAAACTTATTTCAGTAACAGTGTTAATCACTTTCAGTACAAACATAACATATGTAAACTATAATAGGTATAGTATTGAGATCCATTCACACTATTATCTAGTTCAACAATACATTACATGAATCAATACATAAGTACAAATTACTTTTCATTACCAGTACATTATTCATTTACAAGAACAAGAAAACATATACACACTATACGTAAACGAGTTAATATTAGGATGTGAGACACTACTTCATGGTACCTATTAAGGTTCATGCTAAGTCCTATTTTATAACCAGTCTCCTAGAGGGAGACTGTGAATTTGTGTATAGATCTATACGGGACTGACAATCCCACACCTCGACTGTTAGCTACAGTTGGACCGGCAGGTCTACGGGTGACAAATGTCACAACTTTTCGACGCCTGAAGAACGTCGTGTAGGCCATTAGTCGATTTAGCATGGTTATAATCTCATTCACATTAAATATTAACTAAAACATTTTGGTTTACAAAACAAACATTACTTCAGTGGTTTTATTTTAAGTAATAGGACTACCTATCATTATTTTCCAGAACTATTACACTATATAGTTCATACAAGTACAATACACTATTTTCTATCAAAGAAAACTTACATTTATGGAAAACACACACTCACACTATTTTAGAGTACAAAATCATACAAACATTTTGGTCTTAAGGCCTAAGACTGCTTTTCATTTAATAGAGAAAATATTGGATTTTCTGGGGAACATACTAACATTTTCATGGAACAAATACAAACTTCAATTACTAAATACTTATGAACTCACCAACTTAAATGTTGATACTCTCTTTTCAAAATAACTTGTATTCTTAGGGAACAAGTAGACAGGTACACTCACTCAGGCTTTTGAGAAGACGGAGCCTATTCAAGACTCTTCTTTTATTTTGCTATGCATTTTGGTGTCATACAATCAATTCTAAGAACACACATGTATTAACTATATTTTATATATTCAATGGATGTTGTTGCTTGATTTACTATTGTGCAATTGTTATGATACTGTACATGACGTCTTCCGCCCCCGAACATTTCTGACGTTCCGGTTTGGGGGTGTGACAGTAACTTTTGGGACGTTACAGGACATGCATGTCTATAAAGCACCAACTTTTGTGTTGGTTTTGATAATAGAAACTGATCTGGAGTAAATGAGTTATGGACTTTTCGGAATAAGTGCTTAATGGGGAAAGTCATGGCTTATTTAACCCATTTGAAACCTAGGGTTTAAGATTTTGACCTTTTGGGTGATATTAACGGATAAAGTTGGAAACTTTATCTTTTTAGACCTGGTTTCGGACCAGAGGTTTGGAGCTCTTAAGATCGAAGTAAAAAGCTTAACCCTTTAAGCTGCTGAAAACCCAGTGCCCACGACATGACATTAGGTCGCCACGGTGTGGAGATGGGGAAAATGGCGACGAACTGTTCACTAGAGGGCCACGGCATGGCCATAAGTGGCCACGACCTACCCATTGCCTACCCTACCCCACCACCTACCCATTGCATATCCCGATACCCAACCACCTAATCCATACCTACTCCCACACCCACCCCCACGTACCCTATCCACACTAGTCACTCACATACCTATCCTATCCCACTGTAAACCCATGCCACCCACCCTACCCCTTACCCATGCCACCCACCCTTACCTACCCCTACCGAAACCCAACCTTAATCCTATTTAACATAACTTAAAATAATTTCAATAGTTTTTTTTTCAACAACAATTTAAACCCTATTTAAAATAACAAAAACTGAAAAATGAAAACCGATAAAAAAATACACAACCAAACATGTTTTATAATTTTCTAAAACAGAAAATAAAACTCAAAAGTTTAATTGAATGCGTTTTCTAAAATTTAGAAAGAAAACTTTACTTTTTAAAAAAGAAAAAAAAACTTGTTCTGAAAAACTAAAAACAGTTTTCACCGTCAAAATACAACCTAAACTATTTTGAAAAGATAATTTATTTTGTCAAATGGTAAAAATAACGTCAATTACCTATTTAAAAAAGTATGCTGTATTTTTTGTGATTTTTTTTGTTTTTCTTTACTGAGGGCTAATAGGAATTAAGATTGAGAAAATGAGGCTTTGTAAAACGAAAAAGATAAATGGTAAAAGGTCTTGCAGAAAAAACATCAGCGGTTTCCTTTCAGGGGTTTAGTTTTGGGAAGTCGCCCGGATCAAAAAGTCAAAATCATAGACCATCCTCACTAGCTGCTACCACCAAATCACACTCTTTTTCTTCCCGATTTCACCCTCTCTCTCTCTCTCTCTCTCTCTCTCTCTCTGCTCTACTCAGCTGCTTTCTCTTCAAGTCTCAGAATTCCAACGGCTTTGATGGTACCAATTCTACGGTCGACTTGAGCTGCAAAATAAGCAACGCCTCCACCCAATCTCTGTTTCTCGCGATTCTTTCTAATCAATTGGCGAGAGTTAGCGGCTGCGCCTGGCGCCCACTTTCTATTTCTGGGTATGTCATTTAAACTCTAAACCCTTGAAGTCCTCAGCCACTACACACACGTATATAGGTTCAGTAAAGTTTTTGATGTTGAATTTGGATACGTATTCTTGCGAGAACATGTATATACTTAAACTACGGAAATGGGTTTTTGTTTCTTTGACCTTTTCTTTGGTTTAACAGACTGGTTTTTGAGTATTGAGCTATGCTGTTTTTTAGGTCTATATCCTTGTGAATATGAACAGAATTATCATCTATGAACCTGATTTTTTTTCGTCTAACACTGCCGGAATTGGCGTTACCCATAATAAAGATTAAACCCTACGATGAAAGTACCCAAATCTGCCAAATTGGCCACTCGTGGGGTCTTTCCTTTTTGACAAAACAACGAATTGTTTTGTACTTTATAGCAATGCCACAAATGGAATAACATTTCTGTTTTAACTTGCAATTAAATACATTCAAATCTTGCATTTATGAAGTACAAATTGACATTAAATTTCCAAGTTGGGACTTGGGAGGGAGCATGTTTTTCAAATTGAACTTTTGACCTAAAGTTGACTTAGTTTAGGCTTAGGCATGGTTTTCAATAGGGCACATTTTCTTTTATCATGTCTTGTACTCTTGTAGTACCTAACAAGCTGCTAATTTGAAGAAAAGTAGGTGACTTTCTAACATTTTCTTTCTGAGTCTAGAGTCCAACTATTGTTTGCATCTGTAAGTAACTATATCTGTTATGAATTATATCAGATTATATTCAGAGCATTCACCAAGTTCAAGTGCATGGCCTTATCTCTAATGTGTGCCATTGCAAGGTTTTAATGAGGTGAAGAGCTCGATACTATGTTTGTTTTTCAATTATTTTACACTCTCTTGTTCCTTTATATGATTGCATTTCATCTGTATCTTTTTTAAAACTCCATTTTTAGTGTTGGTGCTTAATTTGTTGTAATTATATGTATGCAGAGTCAGTTGGATACTTACAAAAGTGATGGTATTGTTTGGTATCTAATAGCAGTTGAAACTTCATTGCTATTTCTACACAAGAAGATTGGTGATATCTTAAAGGTTTGTGTTAACTGAGAGTCGATAATGGCAGAACTCAGTCCAAGGACTGATACTTCTACAGATGGGGACACAGAAGACAAGGCTCTGGGGGTAATATCGTCAACTAATTAAAAAGTTTTCTTTTTGTTGCATTATTCAGTAATCTGTATTAGCATTAATCAATTTTAGTGCTTTACTTGATGACTCTTTCCTACTTTTAATTTCTTTCTAATAAGCCATTCTGTTTACAAAAAATTTCTTATTAGGACTTGAAAAATCTACGTAATTATAGCAGTGAAAGTTACTTTGTATTTGGATGACATTGCTATAATTGGATAGATTTCTCAAAGTAGTAATAGAAAGGAATGAAATTTGGATGCTATATTGCTATGTAATGCATTTAACACATAACTAATCAATATATTTATTGAGGATAGAAATTAAATTGATGATAATATTTGAAACATGTAACTGGATTTATACTAAAGATGCAGTATTTATGATGTTTTTGCAGTTCCATAGTGGTCAATCACATGGGCTTGTGGTTTCTGATGCCAGTGATAAGTCAAGGGATCAAAAGGTTATTGAGTTCTAAACTTCTAATTATATATTCTTATTGTTTCTTTTCAATTGCTACACATTTTGTTCTGAAATGTCATAAAGTAATAACCCCATTCTCATAAGATATTTATAATAAGGATTAAATGCAATAAATAGCATCATGCTTTCATTGATTTGTTTGTTATAGCACCTTACTTCAAGTTTATTCTATTATAGCATTGTAATTTGGAAAATCTACATAATTATCGCAATGCCATTTCTTTTAACTAAAAGCAATAGATTTTTCAAAATATAATCTTAATAAGAAAAAGTTTGAAAGTACAATGCTATAATTAGGTAGATTTTTTTAAAGTTATGAAAAAAAAAACAATGATGTAATAGAAAGAAACTAAAGTAGGATGCTATAATACACATAAATGAAAGTATGCTACTGCTTCTTGCATTTTATAATGAATCTGTTTTTTGTAGCTTTTGCTTTTATACATATTTAAATTTTGTAAGTTTTTTTGTTATCTTTCTGATTATTTTGTTAAACTATACTTTTCCAGACACTTCGTAGACTTGCTCAAAATCGTGAAGCTGCAAGAAAGAGCCGATTGCGGAAGAAAGTGAGTTAATTTTTTTTTTCTTTTTTATGTAAATTTTTATCCTCATCACATCATCTATCAAGATTTTTGCTATTTTTTTCACTTTGTTCATTTCCTATATTCCAAAGGGGTGTTGAAGTTACTTGATGTTTATTATGATTATTATCCCAATACAAATTTAATATTTGATACATAAGAAATAAACTGGGATAAACCTCACATGCCATAATAATTTATGTTAGTTATCTTGAAAGAAAAACAATTTATTATTGTCTATAGAAATAATTTTGCAAGATTTGAGAAAATTATTGTTTTTTTACGATTTCGTTTTCACAAATTCGTTTTCTATCTTTTTACGTATTCATTTTTACAAATTTGTAATAAAACACCAAGTTGAAAAAAAGTTGGGTCAAAAGTTTGTCAAAACATAATTTTTATAAAATAAATTGAAAAGAATAATTTTGTAAAAAAAAGCTTAGAGAGCAATTCAGGACAATTTTCATGGTTGCTTGATAGTTGATGTAATACAGTGTGTAAATTGGTGTTTTGTAAACATTTGAAATAGTTGATGGGTCAAATTTGGTGTTAACCCATTTTTAATTATATATCTAAATGTACTTTTATGTCATTTCACATTTGTCAGCTAGTTTTTACCAAAAATTATTACGTTATCAGCTACCAGCTAATTTTTTAGTTAGTCTGCTAAATACTTTCACCTTTTCTTTTTCAGTTAGATAAACAAATTCTTTTTGTCAATCATATAGTTACACATGCAAATATGCAATCACATCAATTACTCCACTTTTGTGAAATTATAATTAAATCAACCAAACATAAATCATTGAAGGTTGAAATTAGTTACATGCTTTGTTCCCCTCTACTTCTTGTCTCAAATTGATCATTATACAGCTATCAATTTAATAAAAAGAATTGCAGAAAATGGTTAGTGTAGTGTAGTGTAGCTCCTGTGTTTCTAGCTTAATTTCATGTTGATTTATTTAAATTACTCAAATATCTATTTTCCAATTTATTGTTATTTAGGCGTATGTTCAACAGCTGGAAAGCAGTAGAATGAAGCTGACTCAACTTGAGCAGGAGCTACAAAGAGCTCGACAGCAGGTTGGGTTTGACTACTAATAAAATAATTTGTTGTAAATTAATATTTGTTGTAAATTAATATATTTTTCCAATAAGATGTTGTTTTATTCAATTTTGAAGCTAGTATAGTTCAGTTGTGTTAATGAGTTTCTTTTTGTTTTCTGAAAGGGTATCTTCATTTCAAGTTCAGGAGAACAATCTCAATCAATGAGTGGGAATGGTAAGACTGTGTTTTGATTTTGAATCTTTTAGTAGCTTTAAAATGTGAAGTGTGTTGTGATTTTTAATCTAATGGACTTAATAGGGACATGACTTAATTTCATAAGCTATTTATGGGTGTTTCTTTTTTACTTGGTTTAGAAAGAACGACTTAATAGAGAAAGTCAGGGAAACAATTCTTTCACAAATATGCCTAACTTTTCCTTTTTCCAAATTTGCCCTCGTTTTTTTTTTCCTTTCATTTCTCCAAGTGTCCTGGAATCTTCTCAAATATTTCAAACATCATTTGTCCAGACAGTATAAACAGAAACATGGCATGACTTAATGGGGAATCAAATCTGATAAGCTATATATGAGCTTTTTTTTTTTTTTTTTTTTGACTTAATGCAGAAAGAATAACATAATAGATGAAGTCCAGAAAGGTGGTTTTCCCCATTGAGTCCTAAATATATCAATAAATATAACAATTGTTCTTGATTCTGAGTGTAGAGTTAAAAGTATAGTGTTGCACTTTTAGTAGTAGTTATCATGTTGGCCTTAAAGGAGTTGACCACATAACCTTGACCTCCTTAAGTGTTCTTTAATAAAGACATGTTCTAGGGGTATTCTGGTCATTTCTCAGTTAGGTCGGTTATTAGCTTAGTTAGTTAGCTATTGTTTAATGAGATCAGTTATGTTGAGATTATAGTGACTAAATACAGAGATTGAGATAGAGGAAAACAAAGGATAGAGATAGAAATAACAAGATACTTACCGAATTATTTGGTAGTTTTTTTGTAAAGAAAAAAGTTGGAAGGGTGTAATGGGAAATAAATAAGAAAAGAATGGTTAATGCGCAGGAGCATTGGCTTTTGATGTGGAATATGGGCGGTGGCTGGAGGAGCACAACCGCCGGATTAACGAGCTGAAAGGGGCGGTGAGCAACCACGCGGGTGATGGTGAGCTGCGGATCATAGTGGATGGGGTGGTGGGCCATTATGAAGATATTTTCAGAATAAAAGGTGATGCTGCTAAAGCAGATGTCTTTCATGTTTTATCAGGCATGTGGAAAACACCTGCTGAAAGGTGTTTTCTTTGGTTAGGTGGATTCCGTTCTTCAGAGCTCTTAAAGGTCAGTGCCACATCATCAACATCAATAATTATGCTAAATATATCACTCTTTCGTTACAACATTCTACTTTTAGTTTTTTTTTTTTTTTTTTTTTAGGACATTGTGCTTAGATTTTTTCATTTCATTCTCTTAGCACATTAATTATACTTTGAGACATCTTCCCAATTACAGTGTTCTAACTCAAATACAAAGCTGATTAGATTTTTTAAAGTACATTGTTCTAACCCCTAATAAAAAAAAGATTGAAAGTACAGTTCTACAATTGGGTAGATTTTTCAAAGTAAAATGTTTTAATAAGAAAAAAAAAAAAAAAATTTTCTAGAGTTCAATGATGAGAAAAAAATGAAAGTAAGAAGCTATAACAAACGTACATTTTCTATTTCTTGCATTTTATCCCACCCAAAAAGATGGGACACTATGAAAAGACAAAAATACCCTCTAATATGTTGGTGTTTAAATGCAGTTGCTTATAACTCAATTGGAACCGCTGACAGAGCAGCAGTTATTGGCAATTGGGAATTTACAGCAGTCATCACAGCAGGCGGAGGACGCGTTGTCCCAAGGAATGGAGGCACTGCAGCAGTCATTAGCTGAAACAATTGCAGGATCTCTTGCCACCTCAAATCCATCATCAGGAGGCAATGTAGCCAATTACATGGGCCAAATGGCCATGGCTATGGGCAAATTAGGAACCCTAGAAGGCTTCATTCGACAGGTCATTTCTCATTCTACCTTTTCTTTTTTCTTTTACTTAGGGGCTGTTTGGTAATTCGTAACCTCTGAATGGAACCATTCATCTAAATCGGTACTGCCTCTGAATGGTTAAGCAACACTATCTTCTCTTAACCATTAAGAGGTTGGAACTTGGAACTTGGAACTTGGAACCATTCAGTGGGATTTACCAAACAACCCCTTAATGAGCTTAGTGGGTTGAGCACACATGAGTCCCTGGATGCTTACCAGCGCTATGGCAAGCATGCATGGACTCATGGGACCCACACTTTTAGGGGTTGTTTCTTTTTGGCTTAATCCGGACAAAGTGACCTAATGTGTTAAGCAAAAAGAAAAAAAAAACTTGGCGTAATGTATTAAGACACCAACCCTTTACCTCATGTTAAAATTGATGAATATTGTGAAAATTGTTTGTTGGAATGTAAGGATAAAATGGTCATTTAGTCTCATTTAAACGGTTTATTCGGTCTAGAAAAAAGGGAAAATGACAAAAATGCCCTACGAACTTTCTAGGGTTTACCTATTGAGTCCCTAAAGTTTTTGTCGGACTTTATAGGTCCCTAAACTAGGATATGACCTGCTCTTTTAGTCCACCTGTAATAGCCGGTTCAGTGACCTTTTAGACCAAAAAAACTCACATTGTGCTCCTATAAAGCCAAAAAAATAAGTTCGGGGGATCAATTCGTGAAGTTACAATCTAGAAAATAACGTCAAGCTTGAAGGGTCTTGGTTTTTGCAAATCACACAGATTAAGACACGTGGCAAACACTTACAACACTTCACATGTTATTTGAGCCAAGTGAATAGATCCCTCATGTAGAACTAGAAACAACCACCCAAAACCACATTCTTGTACTCCAATGGCTTTCCCTTCTTCCGACCTTCACTTTATCTTGTTCCCTCTAATGGCCCAAGGCCATATGATACCCATGGTGGACATTGCCAGAATGCTAGCCCAACGCGGTGTTCTTGTCACTATAATCACAACTCCATTTAACGCTAATCATTTTAAATCAGTCACTGATCGTGCAATTAAAGCTAACCTCAAGATTCAAGTACTTGAACTCAAACTCCCTTTAGCTGAAGTTGGATTGCCTGAAGGATGCCAGAGTTTTGACTTGATTCCATCAACTGCACTCGTGGTCAAATTTTTTTGACGCCATTGCCATGTTGGAAGAACCAACTGAAAGCATGCTCCGACATTTAACTCCTGCTCCAAGTTGCATCATCTCAGATAGTGGTTTACCATGGACGGCTAAGAGGTTAAATATTCCTAGGCTTGTTTTCTACGGACCAGGATGCTACACGTACCTATGCATACACATAGTAGCGAATACTAGAATACTTGATGAAATCAAATCCGACTCTGAGTACTTTGTGCTGACCGGATCGAAGTTACCAAACCCCAGGCTTTTGATTGGCCAAAAAGATACTAAAAAGAAAGGATGGAGATGTTTCAACGTATAGAAGAAGTTGGAAAAGCTGCATATGGGATTGTCGTGAATAGCTTCGACGAGTTAGAGCCTGAGTATGTTGAAGAATTCGCAAAGGCAAAAGATAAAAAGGCGTGGTGTATTGGACCGGTTTTATTACTAGCATGTTGCCCTTTGTGCTTACATATTTTTTAAATAATTATAGAAAGGTTGGAACACCAAGACCTCTATGGAATCAATATTCATAAGGGTTAGTGTCAACACGTGCATTGCTTGCTCGATATGGTTGGTGAAATACTCTCAAAACTTTACTGCAACACCATCCATTATTCATAAGGATGTATGGTATCAATATATTAACGAACACAGGAATTACTGAATCAGTCCTTTGTTGACATAGAACCATATTCCAAACAAATTACAAGAAAATTCTCCCTACAAATTACACTCAGCACTCACCTAATCAATCCTATATCTAATTAAGTAAAACGAAAACAGTTTACAAATCTTATATCTAATACAGAAGAAAGGAATGACGAACAACAGGTTGCTAGATTTTTTAGATGAGAGGATGAGAGAGAAAACTTATGTGCTTCGTCTAAAAATGATCTCTCAACGTTAACCGGAAACTCTATGTCACATATATATGGTTCACTAATACATCCACGTATCACTCTTGAACAACTCAGCTCCAAGTTAGATTTCCAGTCCAGCAGTTTGCACCATGACCACATTCACCCCGAACTTATTTTTTTTGGTTTTATAGGGGCACAATGTAAGTTTTTTTGGTCTAAATGGTCACTGAACCGGCTATTATGAACCGGCTATTACAGGTTGATAGGGACTAAAAGAGCAGGTCGTATTCTAGTTTAGGGACCCATAAAGCCCGACAAAAACTTTAGGGACTGAATTGACCAACCCTAGAAACTTTATAGGGCATTTTTGTCATTTTCCCTAGAAAAAAAAAAACAAATCTTATGTGTACTCTATCCATACAACCAACACTCTATCAATACTACCATCATTACCAATTTAACCTCTTTACTCATTATACATGACTTAATATATTAAGACCCCAACCCTTTGCCCCACGGTTAAAAATGATGAAATGGTCATTCAAGGGTAAAATGGTCATTTAGTATCATTCAGACGGTTTATTTGGTCTAGAAAAGAAACAAATCTTATCTATACAACACTTTATCCATACAAATCATCATTACCCATTCAGCCATTTTACCCATACACGACGTATCAAACGAAACATTCTATCCAACACAAAAATAGAACATAAGGGTAATATGGTCATTTTGATCAATCAACACAGTCAGTTAGATGCATAATCAAACAGCATGGTCCAGTTCAAATGCAAACTCAGTCAGAGTCTGTCAGAGCTTCTCAGCAACTATCAAACAACCCCTTTAATGGAAATAAAAAAACAACTTAGATGTAGGAAAAGAATTATATAGGTGATTAATTTGTTATTATTTAATGAAATAACAGGCAGACAATTTGAGGCAACAAACTTTACAACAAATGCATCGAATACTGACAACACGTCAATCAGCTCGAGCACTTATAGCCATCAATGACTATTCCTCTCGGCTTCGAGCTTTGAGCTCATTATGGCTAGCACGCCCTCGTGAGTGAATGACTCATCAAATCCTTCTTTTCAATCACAAAATGTGACTTGAGCTTGTTGTTTGTATCAATTATACAAAAAGAAAAAAAAGAAAAAAAAAAAAAAACTCTCATTTGCAAGAAAGTGGTAAGGATTTGTAACAAGCAGGAAGAGCAGCAAATATATGTGTATCTCATCTCTCATCTCTCATCTCTCAAGTTGTTGGACTCATTCCTGGTTATCTTCTTCTTCTTCAAATATGGTGTAATGGTGCTGAGTTCTACTTCTACCTCCTTGTACCCTTTTGTATGAATGATTATGATGATGATATCTCAATGATTTAACTTATAGAATTTGCAATAATTTGGTGTAATCTTTGTGTTAATTTAAACTGACAAGATAGGTACATTATGAATTTGTAGTTTCCTTGTGCTTTTTTAAATGCTAATGTTTGAATTTGGTTTGTATTTTGTTGTCTGTATCTTTCTAGTTTCCATAATGACATTCGTTATTGGGGACATGTTTCTTATTCTTTCCCTATGAACAACTGTTTAATTTATTATAGATTTTATGGATTTTCTTTTGGTTTTGGATTTGAAATTATTTTTACATTTTTTGAGTTTTGGATTTTAGATCTTTTAAAAACATTGGCTTGAGAAAATGTTGGTCGTGATGGTTGTTAGAATTGGTTTGTGTGGTTATGTTTTATAACCGATAAACAAATCATCTCTAGGAGGTTCAAACTAGATTTTTATTTTATTTTATTTTTTAAAGTCAAATATATTAATATTAATTAAATAATATACAGATTTTGAGTAAAAAGATATTCATGTTTTTAATAAAATACTTATTAATTTAAAATCTTAACTATAAACTAAATATAAAACCAAGATATGTATATTCTTTAATTAACAACAGTTTTTTTTTTTTTTTTAATTTTTTTAATTATTTTTTTTATAATTTATTTTATTGTATATACCTTTTACTTTATTGTGCTGATTATTATTTATTATTTATGATATTGTTGTAATTGTTTTTTGGTTTAAAACATATAAGAGGGATATTTTTACATTTAAAGGGGAGATGCATGATGAACTGTAAATTGTATTCAAATTAAAAATCCAGTTGCAAGATTTGATTTTTAAATTATCACTAGGGGACGAGGGCTTCTGAAATTATAATTGTATCATTCCAAAACTGTACAGTAATTACTTGACGATCGATTGAGATATTCCAAATATGACATGATGTTACGTAGACAATTATATCATTATATATATCACCATATGAACAAGCTCATTATATATTAAAAACATCCGTTTCTCTATTTCAGCTGTCTTCAGGACTAGATGGAGAGAAAATTTAATCCTTTGGAAATTCTAAGAGATGATGTATATTTATTTTCTACTTATCACGATATTTTATTTAAGTACGGTTAATATGTCTGTTTAGGACACAATATAAGGAAATATTAGTATCGACTTGGAATGACGAACTTCTGAACTTTGGAAATCATACAACCAATAAAATTGAGAGTCAACATTACAAGTTAAAAAATAATGCTCATTCTACCTCTAGCATTTGGTTTTTGCTGAAAGTATCCATATCGTGCCTCTAAAATATTACTAATACGTAAAAATAATGCCCTGTTAAGACGGAAACAACATTCGAATGTTGCATCACAATTATCGGAAAAAATAATCATGTACCAAAAATTCATGTGTAGTTTACCGATCTCGATTGACAAGTGCTCTTGTATTAGTAACTTTCGTACGATCTTCATCGGCTATGTTTTTGCACAACACTAAAAAATGTTGTGATAAACTCTTCATTGTCATCCGAATCAAATTTTGTAAAAAAAAAAATTCCATCTTTATGGTGTTAAAAAGGTATAAAATAGAAGAATGGTGTGAAAAATATGGTTATATGATGTTGCGTTTATAGGTGAAAAATATGGTTATATGATGTTGCGTTTATAGGAGCTGTATGATAGATGATTGTCTTTGTGATATTCATCTAGGTTTGCTACTACCTGTTATGTTATGTGCTAGTATGATATGATGTTAGCAGTAGGGGAGATAGTCCCCAAGATTTCCGGTCGATAGGGCCGAAGGGGGGGTAGTCATACCCAGTCATGCTAGATAGAATGTGATTATGTGTACATGTTATGTGGTAGTAGTAGTGGGGTGAAATAGTCCCCGTATCCGGTCGAGAGGACCGAAGGGGAGGCCAGCACCCAGATATGCTAGGCAGTATCCGGTCGAGAGGACCGAAGGGGAGGCCAGCACCCGGATATGCTAGGCGGCATCCGGTCGAGAGGACCGAAGGGGTAGGTCGGGCACCCAGATATGCCTGACAGTATATGTATGTTATGTGATTGTATGGTATGCGGTACGATGGGGGAACTCACTAAGGTTCGTGCTTACAGTTTATAGTTTTGGTTTCAGGTACCTTTTCAGCGAAGGGGAAGGAGCTGGCGCGGTAGCAGCACATCATACACACTCGCATTGATTTTCCGCACTTGAGATATTATGGGATTGTACTCTGACATGATACTATTTTATGACTTGGGTTTTCAGACATGATATATGGATTACGGAATGATATCTTTTATGTGGTTTTCTTATGAATGCCTTTATAATCAGTTAGTTAAAATGAAATTTTTGGACTCGAAATTTTGGGATGTTACATATACACCTTGATTTTGTTTTTATCTTGTTTAAATTTTGGTGTATTAGATGGTGTGTTGTTAGATGGTTTTGGAATTTTCTTTTGAATCCTAGGGTTAGCTGACTTTTTTCTTATTATTGAAATCAGAATCTGAATCAAGCTTTCCCTTTCCTTTGATGTCCTTCACTGATTTCGGTTTTCTTTGGGAGTAGGAAGGACCGAAACTTGACTTGGGACCGAAACTAGACGTTCGGTTGTCAGCCTTGACGTTGGGACCGAAACTGGACGTTCGGTTCTGAGCGCTAGTTTTGGAACCGAAAGTAGACGTTCGGTTCTGAGCTTTGGAATAGTAGGAGCTTGGACTGAAATTTTCTTTTCCTTTCAGCTTCTCCTTTTCGTTGACAATTGACTCTTTCTTTGAAGGAACGTAGTTAGGGTTTTGAGATTGCCAATACCGCTTTCGCTCATTCAGATTTTTCATGTATCTTTGATTTCTTTGGCGTTTCTGTTCAGCTAACTCCTTCTGAGATTTGTGAATATTGAAGCTTGATTTTGGCTTCTCCTTTTGAGTTTTGGTTGTCTTAATAGGAACATTCGGTGTTCTCTTTGGTTCTTCAGGGATCTCTTTTGTTCCACTTGTGCTTGGTTTGTCGAAACTCGAGGGTTTGTTGATAGGTTCAACAACATATCTTCCTTTTACCCTCCATGAGGTTTGCTCCGATAAGCCGATGGTTTCGTCTGCGTTATCAATTGGGGCTGACCAGAAATAATCGTCGCACCCTTCAGCATTGTCTTTGTCGACCAGGATTTTCAATTCTGTTGTTTGTTTTGTAGTGACCCCTGTAACAGCATATACCTGATTCGGCACAGTTTGAACCTTTTGATAAACCATTGCTTTCTCTTTGAGTTTCTGTGGCTTGTCTTTTGACAGGCGAGCGTATTCAACCGAATTTTCAGATATGAGGGGTTTCTCATTCTCGGTTTCGCTCTTCATAAACTCAGAGCAATCAACCACGTCTTCTATTGAGATTTCGCTCATCTCACTTTCCTCATCAAATTCAAACGTATTTTCGATGTTCATTTTACGTTCTGAAATTAGTTTGGCGTTAGACGAGTCAAATGATTTAATGGTCTCGGACTTAATTTTTAACCTATCACTTTCATCTAAAAGATTTTTGAGCATACATTTATGTTCCTTAGAGTCAATCAAGGTCTCTATCTTGTCCAATCCGATTTTTTAAGTGATGGATGTCTCTTCTGAGGACATTATTGATTCACATTCAGCGATGACCTCATCCTCCTTAAATTCAAGGAAGGGTAAGATCATCTTATGAATCTTTTTCCCTATTTCACAACTTAAGTGCAATTGAGCAATATTAGTATATAAGCGCTTAGCAATTAAACAAAAAACATTCCTTTGTTTCAAAAACTTTAAATTGTCTCGTTGCAAATAAATAATTTCATCCCTAGCCCTATTTAACTCCGTCTCCTTCAGCTCAATCCACATCCTTCTCTCCTCACTCTTTGAAGACACCCTGCTGAGTTGGTCAGTTAGGTTAGAGTTCGCTAAGCGAGTTTGCATGAGACTACCACTTAAGTTAGAAAATTTAAAATTTAATTCATTTAATTCTTCTTCATAATTTGTTACTGGAACTTTAAGTGATTCAAGGATGGATTGTACCTTTTTGATCAGCCGATCACAGTCGTTGATCTTCTCGCTCACGGGCTTGGCTGCAAAGCACTTGTCCTCAGTTAGGTTCGGCTCCTTACTTGCACTTTCGGTTGGTCTACCAGCTGTAACCATCAAACATTTTCCAGCCGAACCTGCATCCCTTGCCACATAAGCTCTTCCATGTGTGGGCTTTCTCACTTCTTCATCCTCAGAATCGGTTGACCAGACTTCAACGCCACCGAATTCATCTTCATCTGCATTTTCCTGCACAATCAAGGCATTCATTGAACTGTTAGTTGCCTTCTTTTTCTTGATCTCTTCCAACTTTCGCATGTAATACGCCTCATCATCTTCACCATCTCTTTTCTCTGCCATTTTCCTCAGCATGCAATCTTTGGCAAAGTGGTTCTTGCCATGACAGTAATTGCAGTCGAATCCAGAGTCTCCTGCAAGCTTGCTCTCCTTTTTGTCGTCTTCCTTTTGAGAAGTATTCTTCGCTTCATCTTTTACCTTCTCAGAACTGTAACTTCCCTGCCAGTTTCGGTTCTTATTGACAGGGAATTTCCTTCATGCAAACTTCTTTGGATTGGTGACCATCATAGCATATTCTTCGCTTGTAAGGTCACACTTAGACATATCTGACTCCTCCTCTTCTTCTGCAACACTTTTGCTTTTTGAGACAAGGGCCAACGATACCACACCCGAAACTACCTTCGCCTCCTTGGTTACCACACTCTCATGGGATTTAAGTATGCCCACAAGTTTCGCTAGTGAGTAAGATTTAAATTGCTCGTGAGCTTTCACTGTTGAAACTACTGTCATCCATTCTGGTCTCAAACCATTCATGAAGGTTACCTTTTGCTCGATCAACTTTCTTTCTATACCATGCTTGATCATCTTGTTTAGGAGATGATTGAAGCGATCGAAGGTTTGTATCAGTTTCTCTTCAGGTTTCTGTTCGAAAACTCCAAATTATGAGAGCAGCAAGGTTTGAATAGAGTGCTCTAGATCTTCATCGGTTGAGTAAAGTTCTTTCAACTTATCCCAAATTTCTTTAGCCGTCGTGCATGAACCAACTAACCGAAAAGTGTCAGATTGCAAAGCGAATCTGATCATTCTCATGGCCTTCACATTGCATAGCAACTTGTCCTTCTCATCCTGCGACATCTTATCTATGTCCGCCACCAGCTTATTATACTC